AACACCCGGTGCACCGATGCCTCTATCATACACCCCAGCCCTACATTCCCGCCACTATTGGGACGTATGGCCGGACAAACTGATGCGCGACCGGTTCGTCCACGACTGGGACGACTGGAAGGACTTCTCGGACAACTCCCTCATCTCCCGGAACCGTCGCCACCAACTGGAGCGCCGTCGAAGTGATGAGAACCAGAAGAATGAGGTTCTGGAGGATAAGCACCGGTTCCGCGCGAAACTAGACGTCTCGCACTTCAAGGCCCACGAGATTGAGATCAAGTACTCGGACGGCAATATCGTGGTGACCGGTAAGCACGAGGAGGTGGAGGACAGGCAGGGCTACGTGAGCCGGCAGTTCACGCGCCGGTATGTGTTGCCCGCCGAGTACGACGCCGACCTCCTGGAGGCGACCATTTCGGCCGACGGGGTACTGGTTATCGAGGCGCCCACTAAGCGCGTGAAACGGGTGGACAGTGGGGAACGGATTGTACCGATCATTCACAGCCATCACATCACCCGAAACGGTTCCAAGTGATCGGTGGCACCCGTTGTTTGGTATATAAACTGTGGTTTTTATGAAGAATTTATTTTTTGTATCACTTTTTTGTATGTAATTTGAGAATAAAATGTATTTTTTTGAGTAAATTCTTTGTACAGTTTATATGAGAATTGAATAATGAATTGGAAATAAAAAAAGTTTTATTCAAAATAAATAATCTAAAAGTCATTTAAAATTGCTAAATATGAGATATACTGTAATTATAAGGTATACATCGATCGACACTTAAAATGATATAATTGTCAGTTCATAATGACTGCGAAAATAAATGTCACGTTAAATGGTTTAACAAATTATTACTCTAATAATAATAATTCAGTCGTAAATACACAGAATATTTCAAATAATTGGTTCAATAAGTAATAAATACCTTAAAAATTCATTATTAATGTTTATATATATATTATATTCAAAAGCAATTAATTTAATTGACTTTCAAAAAACAATTAACAAAATATATAAAAACATCTTAAAAATCATTCAACGATTATAATTGTACTAAAAATAATCAAATAATGAAAC